GGCTATTTTTCTTCCACACAAGAAACCCAGGAAAGAAAAACTCCAGAAGATATTACCCAGTATGTGACCCAACTTCCTACTTGCAAGCACACAGTATTACAGAAGAAGTTTTCTTGAAAGGCAAAGGAAGACATGTTAGAAAGCCTCACATCACCAACCATCTCCCCAAAGGTCAAAGTAAAATTCTTAGCCACTTACAACTCTCTCATGTGAGCACTTCTAATACCCTGCTGTTCCCAGCTGCTCCTAGCCCATGGCTTAATGTTCTATATTGCCCTCTTCTGATGGTTACAGGAGTCATTCTCTCTAGCTCAGCTTTGGCTTCTATAGTTGCCTATTGTTTCCAAGAGGTGGCCCAGCTTTGATTCATTTGCTTTCTATGGCTTTTGTCTTGGTGAGACCAAAAATACCCTCTGTCATGGCAAAACTCTGTTGTTGGTTGTTCTTGGTTGAAATCTTCACCATCAAAGCAAAAACCTCAACAATGCTTACCTTGTCTACGTTTTGTATTTACTGATGTGATAGGCAAGGAAGTGGTGTCCCTGATGAGCAGAATGGTTCAGACCTCAGGGTGTAATGAGAAAGGGCTGAGCCCAAGACATGATCTGACAGTTTTTATACATTCTCAAGACTAATGGGAAGGGGAAATGCTTCTGATTTAGTATAGACCTATAAAGTGTTGCAGGTCAGGATGGAATTGCTTCCACAAGCAAAAGATACAAGCTCTAAAACACTATTGGAGTATAAACAATGGTGAATGCTAGCCTCAGTGCTAAAAAGTACATTTAACAGTATTTGCAGCCATTCCTGTCTTCTTCTTTGCCCTCTACGGGTGGAGAGATTGTAAGCTATTATGTGATCTGTTGATTACTTAGCCAATTTAGCAGAGCATAGCGTACTCTTTGGTCCCACTCTAGCTACCTGTGAATACTGTTCCCACTACTCATTGCTCTAGTGCTCTTGGCCGGGTTTTGACCAAGTTGCCTCCCGGTTCAAAGGAAGTCTAGAAGGCCTAGTCTAAAATATATTCAAAATGACAATATCTCCTTAACTAATTGGGTCCCACTTCCCGTAGACTACTCCATCAATCACTAGCCCCCCTCAAAAACACTCATAGAATTCTGTAATTCTCCATTAATTGCTATCTGATTTGTTAACATGATGAATTAGCTTAAGAAGCTAAAATAAACAATAAATCAAAACTTTAAATATCAGGCTGCAATATTTACCCAAGGTGCAAGAAGCAGTATCTCCTTAGCAAAGATGTCCCAAGGAACTGGGCCAGCTTTCTCAGTGGACAGTTTTATTTCATTTCTTTAAGTGTCTAGGGAGTTGAGTACCAATTAAAAGGAACACTACCTCATTTCTAGACATATGGGCCACAGTTGGACAGTTTCCTCTTCATTCATTCATTTATTCATGTGACAAGCTGTATTAAGTGCCAGACATTGTGTTAAATGCTGAGGACTCAAAGACAAAAAGCAAATTGTCCCTTTCTTCAAGGAACTGAGATTCTATTTGGGGAAAACATGTATACAAATAAGTAAATATAGTGTGGGAGGGGCACCCAAATATGGAGGATTTCAGAGGAGAACCAGGGCAGAAAGGAGGAAGAAGCACAAACAGGGAGTGATCAGCATGCTGGACAGGCCAGAAAAACCAAGAGTTTTCTAGATTACTATAGGCAGCCTCTCAACAGGCTGCTATATATACCCATATAGAGCCATAAGGCAACTAGAACAATTAACACAACTAACTCTTCCTGTCTCCCACCCCTTTCCTTGACTTTCAAAGTCTAAAGTATTGGCCTCTGGATTGAATTGTCCCTGCTGTCACAGAGGGTTTGGTGTTGCCAGAGGAGCAGACTTCTGCCCTGCACATTTTTCTTGTGTTCAAGATTGCAAGGCTTGGAGTCCGGAAGACCTGGGATTGAATCTCGCCTCCTCTGACACTCTACTAACTGTATAACCATCAACAAGTCACTTAACTTCTCACAGTCTCATTTTCTTCATTTGCTAAATGGGGATATTTGCTGGATCTCCATCCCAAGATTTCCACAGGACTCAGATAAGATAATGTATGTAAAGTACTTTGCAGTCCTTTAAAGCCATTTATAAATGACAGAGAGACAGACACAGACAGAGAGATAAAGACAGACAGAGAAACAGAGAGGCAGAGAAAGGGAGAGGGATACAGAGAGAGGGGAGGGCAGACAGAGAGAGAGAGAGAGAGAGAAAGAGAAAGAGAGAGAGAGAGAGAGAGAGAGAGAGAGGCAGAGACAGCACATAAATGTGACTGGGGCACTATATAAGTACATGTGAAGGAAGACATATTTAAGATCCTCTTGCTTTCCTGGAGATCATGTAACAACCTATTAAGAACATGGTAGGCTGGATCTATACTGATTGATAGTTCAACCAGTCAGTGACATTGGTAGAAAGAGGAAGGCATAGTGTCCTTCCTTTATAGGTGCCATAACTATCATGGCATTGTGAAATCCCATTAGAAGCCTAGCATATGCTATGAAGAGGAGCACAAAAACAGAAAAAGGTGGTGTCCTAGAAGAGTTAGAGGCTTTATTATGAGCCACGTTGTGAGAATTGTAGTATTCTCACATTCACCAATCCATCCAAAGTGTTAAGGTTACACAGCTTCCACTCCAGAATAAAGGAGGCTACCTTTTGGTAAATCAGGGATGAGAACATCTTCTCTGGTGTACCACTGGACCATTTGAAATGATATGAAAGGCAAAGTGGGCAATCTTTGGATGAAATATAAGGATATAAGCACTGAAGGTGCTTCAGTTTTTAAAACCTTATGGCCCCAATCTGTCCTCAATAATTTATAATTTAGAATAGTCATATATTGGAGAGAGCAGGAGGGGGAAGAATGTTAGTTCCTCCTCTTCTCACTGGAAGTTAGACCACAGTCCCCATTTTTACCCACAAACTCACTATGGCTGTGTAATTTAAGTTCAGTGCCTAGAGCCTAAGGAAGAAAAGGGTGATCCTGGCTTTATGCTTTGCCCATCTATGATTCTGGGTTTTGAGCAGAGACAGAAAAAAAGAGAAATATTGCAAAGAGAAGAAGAGAAAAGGTTTTGAGGGATAGTTAAGCAGGAGACGCAAAGATTCCTCAGGAATGAGGAATTGGACTGCAAGTCTCCAAAGACCTTTTGCCCTTTCCTCCTCTTTGTATCCCTTTATTCTTTTCCCTTCCAACTCCTCCATCAACTACTTACTACCCCCAAACCTAGAAAATAGTCAGATCCTTAACTAAGACAAGATAACAGGTCTTTGTCACAAGATACCAACACTTAATATAGCAACACTTCAACTTAATATCTCGTTAAAACAGGAAGTTACCAAGTGGTACACTCACTCTCTCTCTTCCCAAAGTCCCCTATAAGCTGCCAGCTAGGTAGAGCAATGGATAGAGTGCTGGGCCTGGAGTCAGGGAGACTTCAAATTTGTCCTCAGACACTTAATGGCTGTGTGATCCTGGGCAAGTCACTTAACCTCTGTTTGACTCTTGTTTCCTCAAATGTAAAATGGGAATGATAATAGCACCCACCTCTCAGGGTCATTGTGAAAATCAAACAAGATAATATTTATAAAGTGCCTAGCACATAGTAGGTACTATATAAATGTTTATTCCCTTTCCCCTTCCACCTATAAGTTGCAACCAGGTGAGGTCCTTCCAACCTCCCCTAGCAGACCTCTCCATCAGCATAGATTCTCTACCTACAGCGGCTGGTGTCCCAGGGTCCCTGTCTTCCTTCCACTACGCGGTATTTTAGGATTTCTCCCCTAAGAGGACATTGTGTTTCGAGGTTACTATCTCTCCCCAACTTAATTTGTCTTAAGAAGTTGGTTCAATGGTATGTTTTTTGCTATTTGTCCTGGGTGACTTGTGTGAGGCTTGCCCCAGGTGCCAAAATTTCTAGTGATGGCTCTGCCAATAGCCTATGAATGGTTATATAGTAGCCAGGATTCTGTAATTCCCCCCCAGAATTTAAAAACGAACAAACAAAAAACCAGACATCTCAGCATCAATGGCATCTAAGTGATCTTAATTTCCTGGACATTTCCCTAAACCCACACCCAGAATAAGGCCTAGTTAGATTTTCTAACATAATGGCAATACTAACTCCTTACATTCATAGTGTGGTGAATGGTTATAAAATAACATATAAATTCAGTAACATTTAATATCACAACCAAATGAGACTAGGGAGACAAGGGGGAAAGAGAATGAGACTATGGTGAGATGTTCCTAGACAATTGAGGGGAAAAAAATAAAGGCAATTAGTTCCCATACTGCCTGGGCTCTTATCTTCTACAAGAATTATGTCTGACAGGAAGACAGAGCTACAGAAAAATCTGTGTGGGCATGTGCATACATACCACATTTCACAGAGAACACATGGAATTTTAATTTTTTAAAGTGAATATGTGTTCGGTATTCAACCATGAAGTATATTATTTGTATTCATCTAACTAAAAAAAAAAAACTAAAACATGAATAAACTTAATTTTTTAAAATTACCAGTTAACCTCTACTTCAAAATGCAAACCTAAAAACAGGAGATGAAAAATGTTCATTTTGTGGAGACGTTTAGGCACATCCAGTACATACAGCACAGTATGTGACTCCTTCCCAGACATGGCCCTGCTTTTGTAGCTACGGTCAGAAACCCTGCAGTTACCTTCTCCACCAAAAGATGGCCCTTTCATGCTATCTCTTGAGCAAGTGGTGTCTGAGTTAATACTGATTGTTTTCCAGAGACCTGTTGACAACTGGTGCATGAACAGGTCATTTATTTCTTATCTTCCCCTCTAGATTGTAATCTCCTTAAGGGAAAGGACTGTGTCTTCTTTCCTTTTTGTTTTCCTGGAAGAAAACACAAGTCTTCTTTAGGCAGAGCAGCAAAACACAAAGAACCAGAAAGATGAGATTGCCTGTTAAACTGATTCAATTCCATTGTCTCTTTTATTGTTCTATTCCACATATCTAACAAAGAGAGCCGTGAAACAGCAGCCAAATAAGGCCACAGCTGAAGCCGCAATCACCACCACAATCACACTCCCAGCAGAGATGACCAAGAACCCCAGGCCTACTCCAACCAGGATTTGAGCCAGCTGCACCATGCAGGTCAGGGCTGCACAGTCGATTCCCTTCCCTCTGCCACCACTGGAGGCCATCCCTGTGTCCTGTTGCCTCTGTAACAAGAACACAAGAACAAGACTCCATCACACAAGGAATGTGTGTGTGTGTGTGAGAGAGAGAGAGAGAGAGAGAGAGAGAGAGAGAGGACTGGAAGCCGGGCCCTCCTGAGACTAAAGTTGTTGCCTGCATGGTACCATTTGAGGACTTCTGGGAAGAATCCCCCTGATTAAAAGTATCTTTCCTACCAGCTTGCCAAACTGGCTGACATTTCACAATATCAATTCATTTTCACTTGTACCTTTCATTTCACAACATTAAAGTATTGGGTCTTTAAAAATATTAATACTCCTAGGAAAGGTCACACTTTACCACAGGCAGATGTAGGAAAACTTTTTCTATCATTTCCTTCCTCCTGCCTCCTCCCCAAAAACTAGCACAAAAACAAATTATTCATGGACAAACACATAAGTAAAAAGTAAAAATTTACCTGTGTCAGCTGAGTAGGGGTAGCTGATAGAAAAGCTATTCAAATGATTTGCCAAATAATATGGAGTCACACAGTGTCTGGTTTTAAAACTAGGGATCCAGAGATCCATAGGATCAAAGACCTAAAACCGGAAAAGACTTTAAAGGCCATCTATTCGGACCCCCTCATTTGACAGGGAAAGCCCAGATGAGGTAAGTGATTTGTCCAAAGTCACTCAGGCTGTAGGCAGCAGAGCCAAGACTCAGATTCAAAGAGCCTGAGCTCAGAGCCAGTATACTGTATTCCTTTGAAGTTCTGAGCTTTCCTATTTAGTGAGAGAGGTCACTGAATAAACCCTGTGGTTGTTATTGTTTTCCTTAACAGCCAGTTTCAACAAAATTGTTTAGCTTGACTGAAGAATCAAGCCAATTTAGCCCTTGAGTTAACTGGAGACCCTGTTTGGTCTTTTTCCGAGCCCACTTTTTTATTCCAAAAACACTACTGTCATCAGCTTCAAGTTCTTCACAGGGAGCTGCTTAATAATGGTAACAGTAATTATAATGATAATAATAATCCCTTACATTTGTATAGTGCTTTCCATATGACAAAACACTTTCATGTGTATTCTATTGTTATCCTCACAAAAAATCCCATAAGGTAAGGAGAGAAGATGTCCCCATATTAAAGTTAACAATATTGGGAGTTAGAGAGGCTTAGTGACTTTCTCAAAATCCCATGTTGCACTGTTCTTTTTCTTACACAATTCAGTGCCAGTGTATCCGTAATGGCTAAATTTCCCAAAAAGCCTTAAAACAATTTGATAGGAGTAAGCAGAAAAAAAAGCCTTTTAGGGGAAGTCCATCCCACTCACTAAGAGGCATCTGGTACAGTGGATTAGAGCACCAGGCCTAGAGTCAGGAAGACCTGAGTTCAAATTCAGCCTCAGACAGTTACTGGCTGTGTGGTCCCGGGCAAGCCACTTAACCTCAGTTTCCTCAATTCTATAATGGGGATAATAATAGCATTTACCCCACAGGTTGTTGTGAGGATCAAATGAGATAATATTTGAAAACAGTGCTTAGCACAGTGCCTGGCACATAGTAGGTGCTATATAAATGCTTGTTTCTTTCCCTCTCCTTCCTATCACACAACAGTACACAAAGAATCTGTCAGATACTAACCCAGAATGGTAGTACCAAATGCAAATAAGCTCAGGGAGATAGAGTGAGCATATAGTGATAGTAATTCTGAGTCAGTCCACAACTCATTTTTCCCATTCTTAACCAGTAGCTTCCAAAAGGCAATCAGAATAGACTTAGGGCTGGTAATTGGATTTGACCTAGTCATTTTGTCGTTGTTGTTGAGTTGTTTCAGCTGTGTCTGACTCATCATGACCCCATTTTAGGTTTTCTTAGCAGATACGGGAGTAGTTTGTCATTTCCTTCCCCAGTTCATTTTACAGTTGAGGAAAGTGAGGCAAACAAGGTTAAGTGACTTGCCCAGGGTCACACAGCCAGTAAGTGTCTGAGGCTGGATTTGAACTCAGGAAGATAAGTCTTCTTAACTCAAGGCCTGGCACTCTATCCACTGTGCCACCTTGATGCCCTCACATACCTCAACTCTCTAGGAATAAATTATTGTTGAAGAGATATAATATGCTTCTTGGGGAAAAGGGGATGGGGTTACTTTATTTAAGAATCTGTTCAAACCCAGGACCTCTGCATTGGTAGCATTAGCACCTTTTAATCTCCTGTTTATTTGTAGGAATCCATGTTATTTCTGTAGAACCGGCCAATCTAGATCTGGATGCCAGGAGCCTTCTTTTGGTGTTTTACTGGGGTACAGGTAACCTTGAGTCAAGACCTCTGTTCGTTTGTCTCTAGGTGATCAGACAACAGAAGAATTGACCCAGGACGTAGATTAAGGGAGAGAGTCATTGGTGAGGAGGTATTTACCCAGTCTTGGCTGATTTGATTCTTGTTTAACATTGACATTTGCAGTTCCTCCACGTTTTTACTTTGTCCATATGGTAGCATAGAAAGAAGTATGTATCCCTACATTCTGCCTGCTTTTACTGTTGTTATTCATGAATATTATGAATAACAACATATTATATGTGTTATTATGAATTTCAAAATGTTCCCCAAACTACTCGAAGATTTCTGAGTTTTGGTCTTTAGTGGAATGTATAGAATGATCATTATTAATATTTTTACTATAATAATATCTTATTTTTCCCAATTACATTAATTATAAATTAATTAATAATTAATTAAATATAAAACCAATTTTAACATTCATTTTTAAAATTTTTGAATTCCAAATTCAATCATTATTAATATTAAATTGAGCACTGATGCTCAAATTATTTCCCCATTTCTATTAAAAATAGGGGAAAGAAAAATATATCAAATATATAAATTGTTTTCAAATAAAGGTGAACCCACATGACCATTGCCTTTGGTTATAATATATTTTCTCTTCTGATGGCTTTGTGAGAACAGTTGATTAAGTATAGAGAGTAGCCAAACACTCTTTATTTCTTTTTTTAATTAATTTATTTTGATTTATCAGCCATCACTTCCATAAGCTTTTGAGTTCTAAATTTTTCTCCCCCTCTCTTCCCACCTCCCTCCCCAAGATGGCGTGCAATCTGATACAGGCTATACATATACATTCCTAATAAACCTATTTTCACATTCTTACTTTCAACAAACAGGGTTGATTTTGTGCCTTCCACTGATCTGATCAAACTCTCAGAGCAGTTCCTAACCCCTGACAACAACCTCAACCTGTTGCAAAGTTGGAAAATATTTGGGGAAAGAGGAGGATGAGAAGGAGTAATTTGTGCATTTCCACCTCAAATATGGGGGAGGGGTAACACTTTGTTTCTTTAAAACATCTTGCAAATACTGAAAGGCAAGGGCAGTTTTCATGATCCCTATAGTTACAATTTTAAACAAAAATATAGATGAAGTGATTCTCCCATTTGGATGGGAGAAAATTTTCCTTTAAGAATTTGGCCTTCAACAATTCACCCTTTTGCCGAGTAAGTTGACACTTCAGAGTTCTACATGATTAGATTTACAGAAGGCACTTCTCTTTTGTTGGGCTGTTACATGCTCGTTATTATGGATTTGTGGTGCAGAGTAATGTACTGGAGGATTTGACCAGATGTGACCAGCTGGATGCAGCGGCTTCATTATCCTGCCCTGGACTGCACATGGTGCGAGATAAAATTAACTTTGTTAGCGTCAGAATCAGCCAAATCAAGTGGAAGAGACAATCCCCTTAATGAGGTGAGCAGCAGACTTCAAAACACATTGAATTCTGATCACAGAAGAGGGGGCAGTGAATCCTTTCTTGTGTCATCACATTCTTTGGTTCCACTAAATCTTTCTTAAACTTAAATTCCAAGTGGGCCTGAGTATTTTAATTTATTGGTTTCTGACAACTGGACTACAATGATGAGATCACTTTCTAATGTGGCACTGTTCCTAAAAAAGACGCCAAGACCTTTCAATGTGTCACAGAAATGACGTCCGGATTTCTTCTTTGAGTTTTACCAAATGTTGACCTTGGAATAGCAAGTGGGTGTAGAGGTAAAGCACAGTGGAGGAGAGAAGAAGCTAATTGCTCACATCGAGAAGGCTGACATCTCTCATCCTCATACAACAAGAACTTTCTACTCTGCTCATGGGGTGCCAAGCTCTCTCTAATTGGTAAAGCTTTTGCCTTATCTTGCTTGGGGTCAGGCTTCCATTCTACAGCTATCCCCATCCTGTGTTATACTCCTCCTTTGTGTTGGTTATTGTTCAGTTGTGTCTGACTTTTTGTGACCCCATTTGGGGTTTTCTTGGCAAAGATACTGGAGCGGTTTGCCATTTCCTTCTCCAGCTCATTTTGCAGGTGAGGAAACTGAGGCAAACAGGGTTAAGTAACTTTCCCAGGGTCACACAAATAGTAAATGCGTGAAGCTGGATTTGAACTCAGGTTTTCCTGACTCCAGGCCCAGTGCTCTATCCTCTGAGCCAACAAGCTGTCTTTCCAGCTTTGTGCTACCTTCTCCCATTAGAATGTAAGCCCCTTAAGGGCCGGGACTGTCTTGCTTGCTTGTATTTGCATCTTAAGCACTAAGTGATTTGCCTACAGTTTTAAATGCAAATCTCCCTGTTAGGAAGGCCAGGTCTATGTCATTACTCCACAGTGCCTCTATGGTATGTACTGAGGATGGACAGAGGCTGAACTTACCTCTACCACGCTTCCTTCTCCATCCAGGGGAGTTCAGAGGAAACACAGACTGAAACAGTGGGGTTACCCTATGAAGTGAGGCACACTTGTCTGGAGCTGCCCTGCAGGAATCACAGCTAGAAGTTTTACAAGAAGTCTACTGGCAAAGATGGCCCCAAAAGCCAGGGGGCCAGCAGTCAACACCTGACAAGTAAAATGCAGTTCCTATTGTCATATACAAAATTCCTCCCCTACCATTTTAACTGCTTCAGGCCACTTATTTTCCCCACTAATTGGTGGTCCTGATGATGACACCTGGGTGCATAGTGTATGATTTTCACAGTCTAATTCCCCCTCCCATAGGAGTCTCTAGAGAGATCTGGGACCTCCATGCGATGGATGGTCTTACTGTTTCTCCATTGAAATTCTAGAACCAACCACAGGTGATAGCAATTCTGAAAATATCCTGACTGAAATAGAAAGAGAGAGAGCCTTCCCCCTGGGCTCCTGAAATTGCCTATTTACAAGCTTTCTTGTTATGGTTCCCGATAGAAACTAAGGGGGCAGCAAGGTGGCTCAGTAGATAAAGTACCAGGCCTGGAGTCAGGAAGATTCTTCTTCCTGAGTTCAAATCTGGCCTCAGACACTTGCTAGCTATGTGACCCTGGGCAAGCCATTTAACCCTGTTTGCCTTAGTTTCTTCATCTATAAAATGAGGTGGAGAAGCAAATGGCAAACTACTTCAATATCTCTGCCAAGAAAACCCCAAACGGGGTCACGAAGAGTCACAACTGAAAAATAACTAGAACAATAAATAGAAACTAACTCTATGAGCCCAGATAGAGGCATATACTTGTTCTCTTCAAGACAGTCTAAGAGCCACCGCTTACCCGAAGGGAGTAAGCTAGATGACACAGTGCTGGGGCTGGACTCAGGAAACCTGAATTCAAATCTGGCTTTAGACACTTATCAGCTGTATGACCCAGGTAAGTCATTTCACCTGTTTGCCTCAGTTTCCTCATTTGCAAGATAGAATAATAAAAGCACCTACCTTCCAGGTTTATTGTGAGAATCAGATGAGATAATTGTAAAGTGCTTAGCACAGTGCCTGGTATGTAGTAAGTACTATACCTATTGTTACCTATTGTTATTATTATTATTATTATCTCATCCATTGCTATTGCATATGTATATATACAAATATGTACTATTTGCATTATTTCATATTTTGATATTTACTGATCTGTTTACACGTTTTTCCCCACTAATGGAATGTAAGCTCCTTGAGGGCAGGGCCTTTTTTTTTTTCTTCTCTTTGTATCCCCAGACCTTAACACAAAGTCTGGCACATAGTAGGTACTTATTAAAAGCTTTTACAATTGAATTGAACTCAATTCAATAAAGGCCGCATGGTGTAGTAGATAGGGCACCAGTCTCAGAGTCGGAAAGACCTGGGTTCAACTCCTGCTTCAAACACTTAGTAGCAGTGTGACCCTGGGCAAGTCACTTAACCTCTCTCTGCCTTCTTTTCCTCATCCGTAACATGAGGGAGTTGAACTGGATGACCTCTAAGATCCCTTCCAGATCTAAATCGATGACCTTGTGGATTGAATGAAGGTGAACCGCGTCTCATTTCTGAAGGCAGGAGTACCTACCTGGATCCACAGAGTCCGAGATGCAGAGCTGGGAAGGGTGTCAGAGGTCATTTAGGCCAACATCGTGTTTGAATCCTAGCTCTGCCACTTAGCACTTCGGTGATGTTGAGCAAGTCACATGACCTCTTTGGGCCTCAGTTTCCCCAAAAATAAAATGAGGAGATTGGACTAGGTGTCTATTAAGCTCCTTTCAGCTTTAGTTCTTACTGGCTCCAGGACTATTGCTCTATACACTAGTGACTTCTCTGTACCACTCACTATTCTAGATCCTGGGCAGACAAAGACAAACATAAAAACAGCCCCTTGCCTCAAGGAGTTTACGTTCAACTGGAAGAAACAGGGACACAGATAACTGGATACAAAATGCAGATAAAGTAATTTGGGAGGGGGGATCATTAGGAGCTTGGGGGGATTGAATCCTTCCTTAGACTATGACTCTAGGCAAGTCACTTAACCTTTCTAAGCCTCAGTTTCCTTATCTGTAAAATGGGGACATTCATATTTGCAGTGCCCACCTCACAGGTCTTGGTGATGGGGACCATATGAGCAATTGTATGAAAAGTGTGTTGCAAACTTTAAAGTGTTTTCTTAATTCAGCTATTGTTATTATTGGCAGTTTCTCAAGGTGTGGAGTGACAGGGCACCTTAATGGCCTTATTCAGGGTTTCCTTTGAACTAAAGGCACCCAGTCTTCTTCAGCTTGATTCATAGAGATAACATATTTTCAATAGCACCAACCCTTAGGGGGTGAAGAACTTTCTGAGAAATCAGGTATTTTCACTTATCTTGCAGGTTCCAATTTTTTGCCAACAGGGAAGGGAGGTGGGGGTGGATGGTCCCAGCTCTGCTTGCTGTATACACCCATTCTGCCCATGAGAGCAGAACCGAAGGCTGCAAAAATAGTCCTGGGAAAACAGATCAGGGCCCACTGGGCTTCCTGTGGTAGGGAATCAAATTCCAAATTAAATCCTTTCCTTTCTTAGCAACGGCTACAGCCATGAACAAAATAGCCTTTTGGGGTCCAAATGTGCCATAACTTTTTATGTGAAGAGGCAGGAGTGAGAGAGCAGATCCTGTGTTCTGTTCAACTTAGTGTTTTCTAATTAAGCATTAGGATGAAGTTTTCTAGCTAATTAGTGACCAGGCTTAGCCAGGCAGGCAAGCAAGTGAGAAGGCTCGTTCAGGGAACATGGCTGCCCACATACCCTGTGCACTTGGGCCTATGCCACTCAGATTTATTTTACACTTAATAGTGTCTAGCCACTTAATTTTTTTTAATTGTCGTTCATGGTCCTAAGTAAAATTTCTTTTTCCAAGGAGTACATTCCCTCTGCTCCCAGAAATAATGCCATACATCTTTATTGGAGGAAGGGAGGGGAGGCCAGTGGTGGTGGTAGTTGGTGGTGGTGGTGGTGGTGGTGGTGGTGGTGGTGGTGGTAGTTGTTGTTGGTGGGGGGGGTGGAGTGGTGATGGTGGTGATTAGTCTGCCTTTATAGGCCTACAAATACTCAGGTATCATGAAATTATAGATAGACTACTAGACAAAGTATCAGGAGATTGGGTTCAAGGTTTGGTTCCATCCCTCACTAGATGTGTGACCCAGAATAAAGCATAAGCTTTATTAAGTACAAGATGGCAGAAGCTCTTCTGAAGAAAAAAAAAAAAAAGGTTCTTCTGAAAAAAAAAAAGCACTGTGTGTTTAAATGCACTGCAAACTCAAAATGTGTCAATAGTGTGGCATGGCAGCCACAAAGCTAATGGGTTGGGTTTTTTCCCCTAGGATAGAGGAAGGGAATAATCATTAACTAAGGACTTACTCTGTACCAGACACTTGCTAACACTTTTACAAATATTAAATTTTAATCCTCATAATAATTCTGCAAGATGGGTGTTGTTATTGCTCCCATTTTACAGCAGAGGAAACTGAGGCAGAAATAGGTTAAGTGACTTGTCTAGGATCACATTTCTAGTGAGTATCTGAGGTCAGATTTGAACTCAGGTCTTCCTGATTTCTAGGTCTAGCACTCTATCCTTCCGGCAGAGACTGAGTCTCCCTATCTCACCCAAGCTAGAAGTGCACCCACGCCTCATAGCCTTGAACCCACTGCCCACTGGTACAGAAGCTTTGACCTAGTCTGTTTCTGACCTGGACTGGTTTTGTCCCTCCTTAGACAGCCTAGTCCCACCCCACCCCAATAGAAGTGTACCATATTGGTACCAAACTGAGTGCACCTGATTAGCTTCACCCCTTAGGCAGCTCAGTACTCCTGAATTTGAGTGTTCCACCAGCCTCAGCTTCCCTGGTAGCAGGGCTATATAGGCTCGTTGGGCAGCTAATGTGATTTTGGTTTGCACTACAAGGGGCATAGCTTCCGTGAGTAATAGGTAGTCCAACTGTATTCTATTTTTCTAATCTATTACCAGTATAAAACCACAGCTGGAATAATTAGTCAATAAGTTTTGGGTACCACTTTTTAGGTAGGATGTTGGTAAGCTAGAGAGAGTCAGGGGAGGACATCCAGGTCCTTGGGCGTTGACTTCATGACATTAGTGGAGCCATTGAAGGAACTGGGATAGTACCTGAATAAGAAAAGACTTGGATTCAGAGCCACATGCTAACTGTCTGTTAACTAGTGTTAGAAAATCTTTCACGTGCAAGAGGAATTACATTTGGCCCCTGAATTAAGAGCAACACCTGAAAGTTTCAAAGAGGTCAATGCAAGGCATAATGTAACAAAAACTTCTTAACAATTAGCACCTTCCAAAAGTATAATGAATCAAGTCATGGAGATTCCTTTCTATTGGAGGTCTTTAGAAAAAGCCTGGCTGACTACTTTTGGAAAATATGTAGAGAGAATTCTTTTTCCAGATATAGGATGGTGCAGATGATCTCTGACATCTCCTGTGAGTCTGCAGTTACGAGATCTCTGAGCCTCCGTTTCTTCATCTTTCAGGTGGGGAGAATACAGGTATCATCTAAATCACAGGGTTGTTGTGAAGCACAAACAAGATCGCATTAATATGCAATGTGTTTTGTAAACTAGAAAGTGCTATACAAATGTGGACTGCTGCTCGTGTGAACAAGGTGTTTTAAGGTGTTAAAATCATTCTCAGCGTTGCTGGATGTCTGGGTAAGGAACCCGAGCTACTATGGCTTGAAACTAGCCGGGTGGGATTTCTGCTACTCCTCTGATCTTTAAAGCAGCCCCACCTTCCAGAACATATAAAACACTTTCCTTTCGCAGGGCCTCTCAAAACCGTTTTCCAGCAGCTAGGACTCAGAGACTCACCTCCTCCTCTTGATGGTATTCAGCAATAAGTTGAAAGGGCACGGTGTACAGAGTGCTCGACATCACTCCAAAGAGGGCACACAGCACCAGAGTGGAATAGACATTGGGAAACAGTCCGATAAATCCAGTCCCCAGGCCAAAGAGCAGATACCCCATAATGTAAAGGCCTTTCAACCCCACGTAGGATAACAGAACTTTCTGAAAGTCTGTGGAAAGAAGAAAGAAGGAAAAGATTACAGGTGGCCTGGCCTTCAAATAGGGAATGATTTTAGGTAATCTTTTGCATTGCAGATTCACTTTAGGATGAAACTCTCTTTGATAATTTATCAGGAATCAAAGCTTAGCCTTATCTTGGCTTGAAAGCAGGCAGCTTTGAAAATCCTTTCTTCTATAGAGAAGGGTCTGCAAGGCTGGGTCTGTCTTTCAAAGGAAGAGCCAGACACAAGTCTTCAAGTCACTGAAAAGCAAAAGGGAAGACAGGGGCACTGAGGCTGGGAGGGAGGTGGGACCAAGGGAATTGGAGCAAAAGCTTGAACCTCACATCCCTGGTGGAACTGGACCAGTGCCTTCAACAATAGTTTCACCTTGCAGACGAGGTGTGGAGGACTACGTCAGCTTCATAGACTGGTACAAGTCATCAAGCTTTCATGGAACTGCTTCCAGCACAAAGTGAAGGGAAGATTGACAACTATTTGAATGAGATGAATAATGAGTAGAAGTGCTCCTTGGAACATAGTACTTAGCATGGACCACTCTTATGTACTTAATGTTTTTTTAAGTTTTTATTTTTTTAATTCTGAATTTTATTGCTTTTTAAAAAGGAGTACATAGTTCCTCATGTTTCTTTTTTTCCCTTTTTATCTTTATTTTTTATGTTGTCTTCAACATTTATTTTATAAATCTTATTATCTTATTGTTACTTTCAAAACTATCATTATTTATGCTTCCTCCTGAACCTCCTCTTCTGTGCATTTTAAAAATGTTTGAATGACTTTTTTCTTTATCACTATTGCTAGCCCCTCTCCCCTTTTGGCCTCCTAATGAAAAAACACAGAAAGAAAGAAAAAAACTTGTAATAAATTCCCTTATGAAATTATGCATTATCATTTTGCATTATATGGAGGCTATGTAGTTCATAGATAGAGCACCAGGCCTGGAGTTAAGAAGATCTAAGTTCAAATCTGAGCTCAGACACTTACTAGCTGTGTGACCCTGGGTCAGTCACTTAACTTTGTTTGCCTCAGTTTCCTCATCTGTAAAATTATCGAGAAAAGGAAATGGCAAACCACTCCAGTATCTTTGCCAAGAAACCCCACATAGGGTCACAAAGAGTCAGACATGACTGAAACAACTGAAGAACAATAAAAATTCTGCATTATATTTATTTGAATATTTATCATATCCTCAGACTAGACTGTAAGCCCCAAGACAGTGTGTGTGAATTATGGCCTACTTAAAGTTTATATTTCTGTTAGATCTGGCATGGTACTCTGTAATAGTAAGTGTTTATTAAACATTTGTTGAATTTGTATTTGAATGTGAATTTGAATAGCCAGATTGGATCATTTGATTTGCAAAACTCACCCTCCCCACCCCTACCCCAAGAGAAAAGGGCTGTTGGAATGGAGGAGAGAGGGCCTGTTTTCTACAGGCAGGTCCCACAGCATAGAAAATGGAGATCTGGACTTTGGAATCAGGAAAACCTGAGTTCAAATCTTTCCTCAGCCACTTACTGTGTGACCTTGAGCAGGTCAATTAACTTGCATCAGCCTCAGCTTCCTCATTTATAGAATGGGAATAATAGCAGCACCTACTTCCTAAGGTTGTTCTATGGATCAAATGAGATAATATTTGTACTTACAAATCTTCAATCATTGTACAAATACTATTTAGAAAAAGAAACTGAAATTCAGAGCCAGCTTTTATCTACCATGGAAAGCTGCATCTCTACAAAGGCTCACATTTCTTTGTTTTAAGATTTATAAGGCAGTTTCCTCACAAAAGTCCTGTAAGAAATATACAGCATGTATACTTATTATCTTTACTGATGGGAGTAGAAATTCAAATGGAAAGTCAACTGACTAAGTCACAAACCTGGGTCCCAGAGGTAAGCTGAACTATGTTTTTGCACGCTAGGTCCAGGCCTCTACCCATTGTACTCTGCTATCTCTAATAAAATGCTATTTTTTTCATTGGTGATAAAATCCTTTCTTTTGAGCTCCAAGAGGGTGTCCCCTAGGTCTTATATTCAGGATTTTGACAGTCTTTGTCTTTCTGGTCTGAAGAGATCGATTTTTGCTAGGACCAGGTCTTCACATTAGCCTTCCTCATGCATTCCTCCTTCCACTACAGAGCTCCCCACCTCGCTCTCTCTCTCTCTCTCTCTCTCTCTTTCTCTGTCTCTCTCCTTATCTCCTTCCTGCTCTCTGCTTACTCTTTTACTTTCTGTCTTTGTATCTCTCTCATTCTCTCTGTCTGTTTTTCACACTCCCTCTCCATCTCTGTGTCTCCCTGCCTCTATCTATGTCTGTCTGTCTCTCTCTCTCCCTCACACACACACACACACAGTGAATAATAAAGAAATTTGAACAGTTCCCATTCCATTCTAGAAAGGAAATGTCTATATCCATCCAGCTAACCACTTAGCTCCCCCTTGCCTAGGAAGCCAGATGCTTAGTTTCTCACTCAATTGGAGTCACAGTGCTTCAGATCATTCTGATGGAAGCCAGGGCTTGAGAAATGACAAACTGACAATGTGTTTCTTCCATTAATTTCACATAACACATGCAAAGCTGTTACCCCAGGGTCAGAAGAAAAAATGAAGCTAATCAAATTGTTGTTGTTGTTATTGTTGATGGTGATGATGATTCCTATCAGATTAGCTGTATGCACACTACTATTTAAAGTAGCCTAATGACAAACATCTGGAATCTGGGATCTCTTTTTGACCAAGGAAATGCATTTATCTGGCAAGGAGACCAGGAAAACAGCATACCAATGAGGGCAAAGTGAATTTTGGAGATGTAAAGACATTCTGTTAAAAACAACAATGGCAGTGACGGCCAGGACAAACCTTCTGAGCATTTGCCAGAGGAATCATTCATTCTTAGTGCTGGTCCTTGCTTGGTCATTGATGTGCCATAGGCTCCTCTTTTAATCACACATTCTTTTTGTGCCTCATTGGTTCCTTCCCTAGGATGAAGCTATATTTTCTGGGTTGACAAGCAAAAAGTCAATATAAACAATCACAAAAAAGAAAAACTCTCTAGGAAGAGGAAAGAGGAAGGTGGGAAGGAAAAAAATTGGAACTCAAAATCTTGTAAAAATGAGTGCTAAAAATTGTCTATTTTATTCTATTTTTAAAAAAGAAAGAAACCCTCTGACTCATGATAATGGGATAGGAAGGCCCAGGCAGCAAGCCATCAGTTAGAATAGCCATAAAGAGATGGTCAAAATAGTAACAGTGCTGAGCATTGCAATGAGTCAAATGTATTTTTAAATAATATACGTGTGTGTGTGTGTATAGTAACTCAAACTAGGCTAGCAAAGTTTTATTTCTCATAAATGAAAAATTTGAAATGAATGGGACAACTATCATATATAAATGGGGATCCTAAAACAGTCATGGTGTTTGGATGACAGTCAAGGTATCCAAATCACAGAATTGGAAGATCATTGGAGCGATCATCTAGACAAGTGGTCATCCTACCTCCCCTTTAAGAGAGGTAGGGTAAGGGCACAGTGGATGAAGCATTGGACAACCTGAAGTCTGGAAGACATACATTGGAATCTTAGCTCAGACACTTATTAGTCTATAAGAGCCTGAGAAAATCACTTAATCTGTCTAGGCCTCAGATTCCTCATCTGTAAGAGGGGGTTGGACTCCATGACCTCCAGCTCCAAATCTATGAACCTATGACCTGCTGTGAGAGAGAACTTGTGACCTACTACCACATGAGGCAGGCAGTCCAATTCCACTTGGGGTTAGTTTTAATCATTAGACTCTTCTTATAATAAGCTTAAACTTGCTTGTCTGAAACTATTACCTATTTTTCCTAGTTCTGACCTCTGGAGTCAGGCAGAATAATTCTAATTCCTATTCCATATACTTGAAAGCCCTTCAAACATCTCATTGAATCAGAATCACAAAACTGCTGAGCCGGTGGGACCTTAGGTCTTGTAGTCTAACCTATACCTGAACAGGAAAGGATTTCAAATGCATGAGAGTACTTACAGTCTATTTCCCCAGGAATTTTAAATGTGTATCCCCACCCCCTTCTATCCATGGAAATCTAGTGAATTCACGCTTCTTATGTAAAAAAAAAATGTTAAGCAAAAGCAAAAATAAACTTCAGCCTAAACCTTGCAAATCAATAAAAATGAAATACAAATACAAATGAAAGCATTCAGAGGAAAGCTGATAGTTATGGGGAAGGACCCTGAGTTCATGCCATAAAAAGATCACTCTGAGATGTTTTGCCTAGAGAAGAAAAGACTTGGGTTGAAGTTGGAGGTGGGAGAGAGTGGGGCATGATAGCTGCCTTCAGTATTTAAGGGGCTGCCTTGTAAAAGAGATTAGACTTGTTCTATTTGCCCTCAGAGGGAAGGATTAGGAGTAGCAGGTGAACATTAGGATGAGGAAAATTAGGCTTGATATAAGGAAAAACTTTCTAATAATGAGAAAGGCCCCAATGTGGATCTTAGACCTGCAAACCATGTCTGAATGACCACTTCTCTTATACATTATAGAGACCATTCTTGTTCAAGTATAGTTTGGACTCAATGGCCTATGAAGCTTATTCCAATTTTGAAATTCTGATTCTCAGGTGACTTTCTTTGATCATTCAGTTAATTCATGGCAAAGCCCAGAATTGGGCTCTTGCTTCTGACCCAGTCCTGTGTGCTTTACCAGCCACCACGCTCTTTCTTGAGTCTATGGTATCAGGTCTGTGTCATCTACAAATTTGGCACGCATGTATATAATATGGCTTCATTTAATTCATTATTCAAAATATTGAACAATCTAGGATCAGGAAGCAAAATCTAATAAAGATCTCCAAGTCCACACAGAGTCATTAATTTATAGTTTAATATGAATACACCTAACAGAGCTGCTGTCTAGATCTCATGTTCCCATCTTATAAACAAGTGGAATCTCTTTTAGGGGATTAACACTACCCATGATAACTCTGGTCAAAAGGACAAATTCCTCACTGACAAGAAAAATATGGCATTATTTTTGAGACCCCATAATTAGCACCAAGATTTGAGGTGATTCATCTTTTTGTTTTTGCAAAGGAGTGGGGAGATTATGAGTATGAAACATTTGTATTTACTGTCAGATTTGGTTATGTATTGGCTTGTTTTGCTGAACTTTAAAATCCTGCTACATAAAGTATATCATCCTCAGAATCTGGGAAACGTGGGTTCAAGTCCCACCACTGACACATAGTGGCTGTGTGAACCTGAACGAATAATTTGACTTCTCAGGGCACCAGACAACTCATGAAGACTCAGAGTTGCAGAGAAGAAGCTTATCTGCACTGGAAAAAGAAATTGCCTTATCTGGGAGGCTATATCCCTATATTGATGAAATCTCAGGTCCAGTCCCTAGCCCTGAAATGGGTGACTTTCTAGATAGGGGAGAACAAAAGGATATAGCAGGAAATAAAAGCAATATTAAAATAAAAGAGCTCAACACAAATTAAAATTTTTAAAAGATACAAGGAGAAAAGATCTTTTAGTTAAACAGCTCTGAAGTTTTTTCCTTACCTAGTTGATTTAAATATCTCATCAGTCTCCAGAGTTTTAAAAGCAGTAGGCAAAAATACTCCTTAACAGATATACCAGGCTGTCCCTGCCTTTGACAGTGTTCAGGGATGGGAAAGGGCAGAGGAAGAGAAGGATTATCTTACAAGAATACAATGAGGAAAACACTGAATTGATGCACAAGCCCCAGCATCCAACTTCCACTCCTCTTTCATAGATGAGAAAACTGGTAGAATTGCGTGGAGCGTAAGGATCCCCGTGGTACACAATCTGAAACAGAGAGTTAATTGAACTGCTGAGTAAAACATGTTTAGTGTTATATATAACATCCACATAGCCAAGAACAATGGAAAATCTTACTCGGATGTTTTTGTTTATCATCCATTGGGCATGGGAATGGGGGAGGGAAGGTTGTACCATTGAGAAATAAAAGATGTTGCCTACTAGGCTATATCTGGGGAAAAGAGGCTATTCTTGGAGTCTTCACTGCCCTTGCTGCCTTTATGGCATCCCCTATCTAATTTATCCTGCTGCCAGATTAATCTTCCTGAAATATCATCTCCATCATGGAAAACCATCAGTACTTCCCTATTGGCTACTCCAGCAAATTCAGATGTGTTTTCCTACCTTTCAAGGAAGATCCATCATAACCTGTCCACCCACCTTACTATTCATCCTTCTCTCCCATCATTCTCCAATATACACCTTCCATTGCAGTCAGACTGACACGTGATGAAAGAAACTTTTTCTTGCTATTAGTAGAAATTGTCTTTAGTATGTTACATCTAAAATGCATTTGTGTTGTTATAAATCTGAAAGAAGTAATTCTAGGAAGGACCTGTTCTTAAGGGAGGGTGCAGGACTTGGGGGGAAGACTTGTATTTGAAACCTGGATTGGGCAATTATTGTGTATGACCTTGCCCAAGGTGCGTCATTGGGCCAATCACTTCATATTTTAGGTCTGTTTTCTTATGTATAAAATGAGGGGAGTAGATTAGATGATCTCTAAGGTTGGAAGGTCAAATACTGAAGCTGAAGCTTAAATGCATTGGCCACATGATGAGAACACAAGACTCATTGGAAAAAGCCCCTGATGTTGGGAAAGATTGAAGGCAAAAGAAGAAGGGGACAGAAGAGGATGAGATGGATAGACAATGTCACGGGAATCAACAAACTTGAACTTGAGCAGACTTTGGGAGAAATGGAGGACAGATGGACCTTGCATGGACCATAGTCCATGGGGTCATGAAGAGTCAGATATAACTGAATGACTGAACAACAAAAGAAGGTCGCTTCCAGTTCTTATAATCAATCAACAAGCATTAACTGCCTACTCTATGCCAGGCAAACAAAAATACTCTTCAGCCGACACAAAAAGTGGTCTTTGGCAGGGTTGGGTGTTGAGAAGGGAAGGGGAAGAACTGTGCTAACAACTAGGGGTGTTAAAATGAAAATAAAACAATCATCCCTCAAGAACCTTACCTTCTATTGAGCAACAGCATTCCATAGGTAATAGCCAATAGACCAAGACACTAGTTTGAACAAGAAGCCAAGCTTTGCCTACTGATAGAATCTGATGTGTACATCTTACTATTATCCCCTCTCAGACATGGTTGTTTCTCAGGCATGAAATGGTGGCAGTGGCTGGGAACTATCCATATTGAAGTTCATTTGGAGAAACAAGGAGGGCCGAGTTAATATAATGCATAGGGTTTAAGAGGACACAGGTATGCTCACCTTGTTGAACATTGTGCATATAGAGTTTGTTCAAACTCAGACCTTGTCAGACAAATATTTGATACTCTTGAATTCTAGCCTGGCCTCAGCTTGCCCCATGGATCTTACAATGCTTCTTTGCTGAGGTCCTCTTCTGGTCCCTAGAATTGCTTCTTGGCATTTTACACCTTTGCTTTGTATTTCATATTTGCTACTTTGGTAACTGAGCAGTCCTCTTGCTCCTTACTACCCATTACTTGCTTTTCCAGTATCTAATATTCCAATGCATCTGTGATTTCATCAGCATAGGCATTCCAACCAGTGATACAGAATGCAACTCATTCATGCCCATCTGATCTGGTATAGCTTTTGTCCATTTCCTTCCATAACTTCATCATAGGAGGTCCACACTGTCCTGGGGGCCTTCCTCACACTCTCTTGATTTCTCAGGAAAGTCAATGGAGCACACAGACTTTCCACTGGTTATGCGTTAGTCTTGCTAGATGACTGGCCCATCTTTTTTTTCTTGCTAAGGCACCACTCCTTCTGTATAATTCTTTGTAATATGTTGCAGCCTTCTCTCCACTGCCCTTTGGCTGATCTTCATCTTCAATTGTTTGTAGACTGTAAGTATTCTATGATTCATAGTAGAATGGCCATGACTGTGATCATACAACATCACTGGAAGAATATTTATGTTTAAAAAAGATGAGCCTTTGTCTCAAAGGTACACTTGGAGCCATCAAAAGAATTTTACATTTTCCCAAAGACAATCCAGCCTGCTTTCATCTTCCTGTTGAATTCTAAGCCCAGATCAATGTCCCTTTGCAGTGTCCATCCAAGATATAAAGGAATTCTATAAGCTGTGTAGTCAACTGTAAATCATAGTTTAGGCAGTAGGTATTCTTCTTCTACTTGGCTTTTCCTCTGTGGACAGTTAAGCCAAATTTGAGTGATTACAAATGTTATTTAGGAGGCTTTGCAATATTCTAGGAATTGATGCAATCAGCACTATATCATCTACAAAAAGAAGCACCTCGAGGATCTCACCATCTATAGGAAATCCTTCTTTGGCACTAGACCTCCACAATACTGGCAAACATCCCTGGTGAACATGTATCTTTCTGTTGTATATCTTGGCTGATACTAAAAATCAGAAGATTGCCAAACAAGTGTATCTCAGTTGTTAAGTCTTATAAGGAACCTTGTATAATTTTGACATACACAAGAGAAAAGACTTTTTTTGAGAAAAGCCTACAAGATGGTGTTTTGCTCAACCAAAACAAACATTATTTTGTTTTGTTCTTGTTCTGGTTTTTTTTTTTTTACATAATCAACTAACAATAAGTACAATATGGTCTTACTTTCTCCACTCCTTTTAGTCATTTGTGTAAAGGTGTGGTCTACCATGGACTATTACACATGCAAGTCTGCCTTTTATCCTCAACAAGATCCCAAAAGTTATAGTCTCAAAGGTTAAGGTATCACCTTTTCTCACTATAGGGCATTCATCCTACACACTCTTAGACTACTCTTCACCTGAGCTCACACTGCTCCTGGTACCCAGCAATTGCCCAGGTTCCATAGACATCTAAATAAAAATAGAATATTCAACAAAATTAGTAGAGTAGGAAATTTCATCTCTGCTCTTGAGTTCCTGCCTTCAATTTGTGAAATCTCTGGGAAACCTCACTCATAGGTTGACTTTTTTAGTAACTACATGATTTACTAAAGTACAGTAAAGTAACTAAAAAAGGTATAACATAATTAAAAACAAACAGAAAGAAACTACAGAGAAGCTTACAAGTAGCCAAAGAAGCTGCTTTGCCTGAATGGTTGGCTCTCTTCCTTTACTCCTCTTCCCAGTTAGTGGATTTGGGTAAAGAATAAGGAAATAAATGGAAGGTTTGTAACTTGCCAGGATCAGCCCAGCATGCAACAGGAGAAAAGGAGGCGGAGAAGAAGTATCAGGAGTTGGAACCGTCTCCTATTTGGTCACTGTGGGGTACCTGTAAAGCCGCCAGATCTCCTTACCTGAATGTGTCCATCTGTCCCAAAGCTAGGTATTCTCCTCCCCAAAGGGAAGAATCTGTCCCTAGAGAGCCCCAATATCAGTTGCAATCTAGTTTAGTTCCAGCTGAAACATGGTATTTTGAGCCTTCAGCATTGAAAGGCGCTGTGGGTAAGTACTCAGTTCTCCTTTCAAATCCTTCTGTAACCAGGAGAGGGAGACTTTCCTGGGACAAGATGCTGTGCTCTTCTTTCTAGTCAGAAGTTCTTTGCCATCTGTTCCACATGGACAGAAACAGAGAGGCTCTTGGTGGGGATGGGGCCACAGCTTTGAAGCACTGCAGCCTTAACCTTTGCTGGCATTATTCCTATAGCCCAAGCTGGGAACAGTTACTGGCAAGCTGAGGTGGATCCTGAAAAGCTGGGGATGGTCGCAGCTGAGATCCAGAGGGAGAGAACTAATGCATTGAAAGACCAGAGGGATGCAATAAAACATCTTGGGGGATGCAGGACCAAATGGAGCCTGAAATGGCCTGACAGCTATTGTGAAAACCCCAGCCACAGGGAGACCAAACAGGAGGCAGTGTCCGCTTCCACTGGTTCCGTTTCATCCATCTTCTTGATTGCTTGCTTGCCGGGCTAACCTTGACAAACTTCAAACCCTCCATCCCTTTCCTTATTCTCTCCCCTAATCTGATGGATAGGAGCATGGAGGAAGGGAATCAGTCAGGCAAAGTACCTTATTTACAATGGCTACTGGAAAGGTCCTCAATAGTTTTTGTTTTTTTGTTCTTTTGTTTTTGCTTTGCTATAGCTATAACAACAACAACAACAACAACAACAACAATTTATATAATACTTTAAGGTTTACAAAGCATTTTACATGTTATCTTATTTGATGCTCCCTACAGCCCTGTGAGATAGTTGTGATTAATGTCCCCATTTTACAGATGAGGCAATTGAGGCTAAGAAATGTGACTTGCCCAGAATCATGCAGCTAGTAAGTGTGTCAGGCAGGATTTAAACTTAGGTCCTTCTGACTCCAAGCCCAGTACTCTCTGTGCTATGCCATCAAGTTGCTTTACTTTACCTAGCTGCTAGTTGTTTTACTGTGTTTTAGTCAACCACATAAGACTTATAAATGAAGCTGTCCAACAAAAGCATGAGATTTGAGGTGGGGGCCCAAGAGTAGAGATGAGAGGTTTCCTATTTTAGTGATTCTATATTTCTATTCTAGTAATAATATTCTAGGGGAGTATTCTCTATTACCTACAACCTTATCTGAATCTACTAGGGGGGAAGGAGATTGGAAAGCGATATTTCAGGCAAGTCAGAGATCATCTGAGTACCACATGATGCTCCTTGGACTGTGTCACACCTTCGACGTCTTCCAAACATCTGTGCTCTCAGACCTGCTGAACTTGGTGCATTCTGCTAGAACATTTTAATTTACTCCCAAGCCCCTGCCTAGAATACTGCGTTGCTCCAAACAGTCCCCTAGTGCCTGTGCCAACTATTTTAAAAGTTATAAAAGCATCAGTAAG